ATCTCACCCACACCAAACCACAACAAATGCCAGTTTGCCAGGATTAGCCTTACAGTTTTGGTTTGCAAAAGTTTCTGAGTCTTCATTCCATTTTGGTAAAAGGAAGGGTATGTGGGGTATTTGTTAAAGAATTGAGAAATGAGGACATCACAAAATATTTTCCAACATGTTCGCATGTTAATTTAAAGTCCATTAATTTCAGTGGATCGGCTCAAAGTAGGGCCAAGTCTAGATTTAACCAATAATTATGAATTAGTAATTGAACAGTTCACTGTCTTGTCACGACACCTGCAATATGGTACTGAAGCGGCTGTCTGTTTAATGTTGTCTGTGGCTCCGAAGCTGCTGATTACTATGGTAAACTTGCATGTTGCAAATAATGGTGGTCCGTCTTTAGACCTTTCCCTAAATTTTAGACCAGCTTTTAAATCTTACCGTTACTCTTAAAAAAAAAACCTTTTGGTAAAGACAAGATACTTTTTTCTACATTTTCTTGGAGTTCTCACTTTTACTGTACTTGAATGTAACACGTATGCATACACCAAGATTTTAGTCTTTCAGCAATGTTACGCACTCCCCACTGCTAGTTTCTTCTGCTGTAAAACTCATCACAGTGTTGAAAACGTACTCCAACTGTGTGTACTTGCTGTAGAATGTGTGACTGTCTTTTATCAGCCCAGGCTATTATGGTCAAACACAAACTGACCTAGATTCAAACTCTCTGGCATTAAGTACTGCGCTTTTAAAAAGTCATATTACATCTGTAGGTAACAAAGCTTGCCACTCAGTTTATGACAGGCTGAGTACCTAGTGTGGTGTAGTAGATAAAGTGATGGACTAGAATTTTAGGAGACATGAGTTTGATTTCCTGACACTGCCATGGAAACTCACTGGGGGAAATGGAACTGGCAAAACCCCTCCTTAACTACTTCACTTACCTTGAAAATGTAATTAGGGTTGCTGCAAGTCAGTGCTAGCCTGATGACACTTAACATCAGGACTAATAGCACACTATTCCTGTAACATATACTTTGGAGTAGATTCTCTAAAGTCTCATATAACTTTCTTCCTAGATTATTTTGCACTGACTTATTGCCGAAACTGGAACATTTATGAATACAATTTACAAAAGCTAATTTAGGTCCCATTGATTTCAGTGGAAATATAAATATTATCTATAGATACTTTCATAGATTTACATATGTTTATATATATTTATACATGTTCAGCTTGCCCTATTAAGTCTTTATTCCAGAATAGACAGTAGAAGCCATAGATGCAAATAATTGATTGGTAAAGTTGCCCTTTGAGCATGTTGGGTTAGCATTTAGGCTTGCTCATCAAGGAAACTATGAAAGAACTAATAATGTCTTGTTACTTTGTGCCTAGTTTTAAGTGTTGGTGAAGGTGGATTCTGGGAAGGCAACACTCGAGGACATATTGGATGGTTTCCTGCAGAGTGCGTTGAGGAAGTGCAGTGTAAACCCAATGAGAGCAAGCCAGGTAAGATGGTGCTGTTCACTAGTTCACTCATACCAATTATTATCTGTTATATTTCCATGCATTTTTCCATACTAAACTGAAGATCTGAGTTTCTCTCAACTTTGGATTGTAAGGAATCACCCTAGAGGGTATTCCACTAGGCGAAGGAGCCTCTGTAGTACTATACTCATTACCCTTTCAACCCCAGACTGGGTGAAACTCAGAGGGTGCGTGAATTAGCACTATGGGCAAGCTTCTAACCTAGGTTTTCACCTGTCCCCCTTACCTGAGACAGAAATTCTCCTGATTGTGCACTTAGTGCCTTGTACACCAACCAGACGAGGTAGACCAGCCAAAATAGTTGAATGTAAGGAACGTAGCTGTTTGGCCAGGCACCTTCTTTAGGCACTCATTCCCTTCTCCCCCAAGGATCACACCTTGGTAAAACATTTAAAAGTTTATTAAAAATATTAAAAAGTAAAAGAATTTTAAAAGGCAGATTCAAAGCAATGCAAAAGCATCAAGCAATTCATATTCTGATAATTAAGTGAGCTCTATGTGAAAGCAAACTCCATAAAATAATAAAAGCTGGCTACTTCTATCTAATACTATTTTCCAGTTAACTAATCATGACTAAGTATCTATAATGGTGTTTTTAGGCCTAATCCATCATCTGCAGGCAGACATATGAATGGATAGCTAGCTAGAAAAAAAGCAGTAGTATACCAAGACTAACTCCTTGCTAGTTCTCAAATCCATGTTTCCCCTACATGGTATTGTCCAATCAGGTTCAAGTCCTCTGTCCATTAACTTCATTATCTTGAAATTTAACTTCTTTCAACCTGTCTAGTCATTTCTCATGAGAACTTCTGCTAATGAGCCATGAGGAATGGAATACAATGTTTAGAGACTGCCTGGTACATCCTTGAAATGATCTGGAGCTTAGCAAAATACATCTTCATCATGCAGATAAAGCATCAGCTGTAGCAGAATGGAGAGGTACAACATAACCCATCCAGTTTCCTCATAGGGATATTTCTGAAATTAGTAGAATTTTGTTCTGAGGCAGGCAGGAAGAATAATTGTATGTTTAAATTTTTTTAAATACAATTCTATGAGTATTTTTACTTTTGCCCCAGCAAAGTATTTTAGGGCATTTAGCTCTTTTAAAAAAAAGCTTCTCAGATAATTGATGTAACTTTCAGCTGCTGCAAAAATGATATCCTCCATTTCTGAGCTCTGAGGCTGTCTGACAGAGGGGGAAATGCTTGTTGTTAGGTTCTGTAGGCACTTCAAAACGTTAGGAGTCTTACAGTCTCCCTGCCCATTATTCTTCTTAATAGGTACCTCTCACGAAATAGGTACCACTAAAGCTTTGCACTGTCCTATGCAGCCAGTTTCTCCTTCATTAGGCAGCCTTTGTTGTTCTTGTTTAGTCGTTAAGTCATGTCCAACTCTTCGTGACCCCATGGACCAGAGCACGCCAGGCCTTCCTGTCTTCCACTGCCTCCCAGAGTTTGGTCAAATTCATGTTGGTAGCTTCAGTGACACTGTCTAGCCATCTCGTCCTCTGTTGTCCCCTTCTCCTCTTGCCTTCACTCTTTCCCAACATCAGGGTCTTTTCCAAGGGAGTCTTCTCTTCTCATGAGATGGCCAGATTATTGGAGCCTTAGAACAAAGAAATGAAGGGCTATTTTGTCATTTGTGCATCAGCTGTCAGTTATATCAAACACCCGAGGGGCTTTTTTTTAAGTGCTAAAAGTCCCAGAATTCTGACGAAGGCAATTGCAGCAGACTTTTTGGTGCAATAGTCCAAAAGTGCGAAAGACCTGTCCCTAATAGTTAAGGTGCAATTGAAATAAGAGTGAACGTAAATGTTTTTGCATGGATACATCAGGAAATATGGTTTGTCATTAGAACTGTGTGCTGTAGTGAAGTCCTTTTTCCTTTGGTAGTATTTTCCATTTGGTATTGTCTATTTGGTAATTTTAAGATACGTATAATCTTCTCCAAACTTCAGAAATGTAAATTACTTTGCATTTAACATGAAAATAGTCAAATGCCTCTGACCTTTTGTTCTGTTTATGCTAAAGTTAAATAGAAATAATCTGTTGATGTTTTATTATTTTATATTTAATAAATGCATGGCTGTTATTTTGTTTCCTAAGCTGTGAGAAGATAGTTCCAAATATTCTGTTTAGTTTTGAATTAATAGCAAAAGAAGAATAGCAAAAGGGCCAACAGATAAATATATGTTTAGGGGTTGTTCAAGACTGCAGCTAAAACATAAAATACATTTTCGATTTTGTAAGTCCTCACTCTACATTTTCTACAACTTATCGAAGCTTCCACAGAATTTAGAAATACAGTCAGTGTCTGAGAGTTCCAAATAGCATTGCACAAGAAATCATGTGTTGTTAGCTCATTGTCTTCTAGACAGTTCTGCAAATAGAACACACACTCTTTAGAGGGAAAAACTCTCTGGCAAAATATGTGTGATCAGAGCTGTCACGGCTGTTTCACTATCCTGTGCTGAGCATACAGGATGTGCCGGCCTGTTTAAATACCTTCAACCATCTTTCTTGGTTTCTGAGAGACAGATTTGATTTTTTTGCAAGAAATAGACCCTCTCTACTCCTTTTAATAAGTCCTGCTGTCATTTCCATTGGAGAAAAGATTTGTAAACCTCAGAGAGAAAGAAGGGTGGAATTTGGGGAAATTCCTTCCCACTCTCTAGGAAAGACCAGTTAGATTCCCCAGCTGCTGAGTTCATCTATAACCTCTCTCTGTCATCTGAACTTGGTTTTTCTTGGCGGCTGAGTTGGCACATGCCATGCACACAAGTCTTCCCCATAGGACACTGTGGCAACCCCAGACCTACTGGAGTATACCACCCTGTAATTATGCTGCCACCAACCATTCCCTGTAAGGAGTCACACAGACCAGGAATGGATTTTACTAAATAAAAGAACAAGGTTTATTCAAATAACAACCAGGGTAAATAAAAGAATCAGGTAAATAGGATAATGTAACGTGGCATAACCCCAATCACACACATACA